GCAGGGCTGCTTCAACGCGCTGCAGCTCCCACCTGGCCGCCGCCCGCTCGGTCCGCGAAGCCGACCTCCTCAGCGAGCCCGCGCCCAGCCGCGCACAGCCAACCCGGCGCCTGCAGCGCAGGGGCAACGAGGTGTGGCTTTTTAATTGAGAAGGTTTTCCCTCTGAGCCTTAAAAGGAAAGGGAAGTGGGACAACGTCCGGGCTCGGGTTCTCCAGCCACTGAACGCAGCAGCGGCCCAGCCAGCCCGGTGGGACCCGAGCGGGCGCCCTCCCTCCCTCACCACTACTCCCCACCCCCGCCCCCACCAGACAGCGCCTGTAGCTGGCACCAAGTGGCCTGTCGCTGCGGTGACCCCGCGCGGGATGCAAGCGCCGCCGCCCGGTCCCGGCTGCACCCGCCCGCGGGTCTTGGGAGAAGGAAGTGGCCGCAGGAGAGGAGTGGGGCCGCCGGGCTGCACCCCTAGATCCCAGCAACAGCCGCCCCGCAACCCCGAGGCGTCCAGACAGCAGCGCTCGGAGCACTCGGGCCGCAACCTCCGCACCGCCCCCTACTCGTCCGGGTCCCTGCGGCGCCGCGCGACGCTGCAGGCTGCCAGCGGCGAGTTAGGCAGCCCGGGTCCACAGCTTACCTGGCCAGGGCAGGGCGAGGGGAGGCGGGCTGCTTCAGCGCGCTGGGATCCCGGCGAGTCCGCCTGCTCCGTCTGCGAAGCCGAGCTCCTCAGCGAGCCTGCGCGGAGCCGCACACACCTCTGCCGCGGGGTAGCCCCGGGCGCGTCCCGGAAGCGGTGTCCGGCAAGCGCGCAGGGCCACCTCTACCGGGCGCACCGGCACTCCCCTGAACCTGTGGGACACGCGCCGCCGAACCTTCCCCTTCGCCTCACCCTGTCTTGGGTCACTGGGGCATGAAACGCTTCTCGTCGACACGGTGCAGCAGAAAGAGATGGAATACAAAGATGATGCATCGGGGCCGGGCGCGCACGAGACCCTGTGCCCCCTGGCCCTGGCGCTGGCGGGCGGGCGGGTGCACTCAGACCCGGGTGCGCAGGGCTGGTCTCCCGGACAGGGGCTGGAGCTCAGACGCTGGCAGGCGCGGCGCCCCCAAATGCCCCGGGACCTGAGGAGCACCCAGATTCCCGAGGCACGTCCTGGCCCTCCTAGCTGGGGAGCTGCAGGGGTCTGGTCCCGCGGGTAGAGCCGGTGAACACGAGGCTCCCACAGTGCCAGGGCTGCCGCACTGCGCCCTGCTCACTCTTCCTCCACACCACCGCAGTTTTAAGAGGCGACCCTAGAGCAAGGAACCCTCGGAGATTGCCGCCTCCGAAAGCCCCATCCAGCAGGGGAGGCCCTAGGCGCATGCAAGACTCCAAGTCTTTCCTACGGTCCCTTCTAAGCACCCCAGGACCCCGTTTCTGATACCCTGTGCTGCTTTAGCACCCTAGGGCCTCACTCCAGGCCATTTTCTCCTTGCTGTCCTGAATGGAGAGGAGCCTGACCTCCGTGGGGCCCTGGGGAGCGCACACACTCACACACACAACCCCAGGGGAGCCAGTCTTTGCCCCCACAGCGTGAGAAATTCCCTGGAGGCCCTGGAAGGTCGTGCTGGAAACTCCGGTGTCACCTTCCGCCCTCTGGCCCTTTCCTAGAGTCCCAAGCAGATGTGGTAACCGTGGGAGACGCACAGGGTGCTTTGTCTGGGCAGATCCGGGGCTCAGGTGCCTCCCTCCCTGAGTGATTTGCCCTCTTCTATCTTTGTGGCTGGATTAGGTGAAGCTATGTCCGAAGTGGGGGGTAAAGGAGGATAGGGGACCTAGCAGGCGTCCCCAAACTACGGCCCGTGGGCCGCATGCGGCCCCCTGAGGCCATTTATCCGGCCCCCCCACCGCACTTCAGGAAGGGGCACCTCTTTCATTGGTGGTCAGTGAGAGGAGCACAGTATGTGGCGGCCCTCCAACGGTCTGAGGGACAGTGAACTGGCCCCCTGTGTAAAAAGTTTGGGGAAGCCTGAGTCCTAGGGCGTGAGGAGAGCCCATTTTCCTGCTGCCTTGAGGGCCCGAGCTGAAACCCTGAGAAGAAGGGGTTGGGGGAAGCCGAATCCTGAGCTGCACTAGGGTACGGTGTGGACTTGGCCTCTCCACACTCTGCCCCCGCCAAACACTCACAAATCCCCAGGGCCAGAGCTGCCAGTGGGGGCTGCTCCTGGTAGGGCAGCTTTGTAGCCACAGGGCCAAAGACAGAGCTGGAGCAAGCCAGCGAGGTTCATGACCCCCTCCCCACTACCTTCACTGCTTACTTTCCAGCCGGATAGACATTCTGCTTACCTGGCCAATACAAAGTTCATCTGGCCTCCTGTGGCCCAGCCTTTCTCCAATGCCAATGGTGGGAAGCAACAATTATGAAGCAATGATTCCAAGAAGATAAATTCAGTCATCTTCTTGCCTGACCGTTATGTGGTCACATCCTGTAGGAAACCAGACAGCTGTGCCTGAAGCTGATCCACACAATCCCCCGACCTCCTCAAACCCCACCCCCATCTGTGTGAATGTGTGTGGGTGGCCAAGTTGCATGCTGTTCCTTCAACAGCCTCCCTTGAGATCTTCCCATGGGCAGGGTCTGGGCTAGTCACTGGAAATTAAACCTCATGCCAGCACCTGGGAGTGAGCAGCTGATGTCCGCAGTCCACAGGATGAAAAGTACAGGCCTAGGGTCAGGTGGCTCCCACCTGTAATCCCAATGCTTTGGAAGCTGAAGTGGGAGGCTCACTTGAGCCCAGCAGTTCAAGTCTGCAGTGAGCTATGATCATGCCACTTGCACTCCAGGCTTGGTGACAGAACAAGACCTTATCACTTTAAAAAATGGAATAAATTAAATAAACTTAAAAATAAAGGTACAGGCCTGCCCCCAACCTCACTCAGGACCTAAATCTGGTAGGCTTGAGCCGACTGCCAGTATTCAGAGAACTTTTAAAGAATCATTAGGACAAATAGCTAATGCGTGTGGGACTTAAAACCTAGATGACAGGTTGATAGGAGCAGCAAACCATCATGGCACACATATCCCCCATGTAACAAACCTACATGGTCTATACTTGCATCCAGGAACTTAAAGTAAAATTTTAAATAAGAAAAAAAGAAGGCCGGGCGCGGTGGCTCAAGTCTGTAATCCCAGCACTTTGGGAGGCCGAGGCGGGTGGATCACAAGGTCGAGAGATCGAGACCAACCTGGTCAACATGGTGAAACCCCGTCTCTACTAAAAATACAAAAAATTAGCTGGGCATGGTGGCGCGTGCCTATAATCCCAGCTACTCAGGAGGCTGAGGCAGGAGAATTGCCTGAACCCAGGAGGTGGAGGTTGCGGTGAGCCGAGATCGCGCCATTGCACTCCAGCCTGGGTAACAAGAGCGAAACTCCGTCTCAAAAAAAAAAAAAAAAGAAAGAAAAAGGAAAAAAGAATCCGGCTGGGCAAAGTGGCTCATGCCTGTAGTCCCAGCACTTTGGGAGGCTGAGGCAGGCAGATCATGAGATCAGGAATTCGAGACCAACCTGGCCAACATGATGAAACCCTGTCTCTACTAAAATACAAAAATTAGCCAGGCGTGGTGGCAGATGACTGTAATCCCAGTTACTCAGGAGGCTGAGGAAGGAGAACTGCTTGAACCCGGGAGGCGGAGGTTGCAGTGAGCCGGGTTCGCACCATTGCACTCCAGCCTGGGCAGCAGAGTGAGACTCAACCTTGGGGAAAAAAGGGGGGTGGGGAGGACGGAATACAAGAGAGCTGCTTCCTGTCTTTCTTGCTCTCTGCACTGTGAGGACACAAGAAGATGGCCCTCTGTGAAGCGGGAGGTGGGCCTGCCCCAAGAACCAACCATGCTGACACCCTGATCTTGGCCATCTAGCCTCCAGAACTGGGAGAAATTGGTGTTTGTTGTTTAAGCCACCCAGTCTGTGGCATTTTGTTAGAGCAACCCAAACTAAGACATTGCCCCAATCATAATGATATCACCCTATATTTCCTTCTAAATGCTTTCAATTTTTCTTTTTTTTTTTTTCAAGACAGAGTCGCACTCTGCCACCCAGGCTGCAGTGCAGTGGCACGATCTTGGCTCAGTGCAGACTCTGCTCCCAGCTTCAAGAGATTCTCTTGCCTCACTCTCCCGAGTAGCTGGGACTACAAGTGCACGCCACCACGCCCAGTGAATTTTTGTATTTTTAGTAGAGGTGAACGCAACATTAAACTTATCTACTATAAAGTTTATTCAACCAGCAAAATGATGGATTTAATTTAATCCAAAAAGTAAGAGATTTAAGTATGCATTAGATAAACCAGGTTTTAAGTGGTATAAGGTTTGAAATTGAGAGGCACATTTTATTTAAAGCAGACCTACAAGAAGATAGTCAAGCCTCATATAGGCTGAAACTTTCTAAAAGAAGACCCTACATAATTTAAACAAGGTTGGTGAGTTCGTTTACAATGTAAGTGCACTAACCCCATTCCTAAAATGGATTCCATAGAATTAATAAACCATAAAATATGTATTAGATATTTTATTTCCTGTGTTTATAGCATGCTAAGAGAACAACAGAAACATTGTTGCTGTTGAATGTTTCCAATACTGTTCTGCTCCTCTTAGGTAAATATGACAAGAATCAGAGCCTTACATTTTCCCACCAGTCTAGTTCACAATAGCACACTTTGTTCATTGTGCTCCTGTGGTCATGGAATGTAGACTTGTGTCCTTTAATTCACCCGCACTGTACTCTGAGAATGCAAAATATGTGTATCACCAGCATTCTTTCCTTCCAGAACCTGCCAGACATTATTATAACTGACCAAAGCTCTATTAACCAAAGCTCTATTGTATTCTTTGCAACTTTATTTCCATACATATAATAATCACAATATACATATAATTGTTTGGGACTTTGAAGGGGATCCAGTAAACAGTATTACTCTTCCCATCTGGTTCTGAATCAACTGAGAAATAAGACAATGAGTCAGCAGATGGAGGTCAAAATGTCACCTTTACTAATAACAAAGCATGGACTTCCTAATACAGAAGCACAGAGTCAGACAGACAGATAGACGTATTCCCCGTAAGTGGCAGCACTGGCCAACAACAGAGGCTTCCCAACAAGGGGCAGAGCCTGCCCTGGAAAAGTCCAGTCACTCCCAAGAGGAAGGGGAGAGGAAAGGGATTGAACTCAGGTCCTCAGGTCCTCAGTTTCTCCTTCCAAAATCACCAATCAGGTAAGCCACTCCACCTTCTGTGGAGAAGAGAAAGGTCAGGAGTATTATGTTAACTACAATTCCCTTCAAAAAGAAGGAAACATCAGGAATATGGAGGAGTTATTTCTCACCCTACCACACCCCTAACAGTATCCAGCATTTTATTCTCTTAACTCATGAAGTCTATGCCTAAGCAGGAATATCCTAATTAAAACAGTTCTACTTCCAGTCTCATGTTGGGGCTCCCCCAGTACCCATCACTGCTCTTTTGGAACTGTTGGGCCATTTTGATTTTGCCTGCAGATGGTTCTAAAATGGTTAGATCCAAAGCTGAAAATTCATTCCCTATTCTTTTCTCCTTGCCACACTGTGTTCAGCTACATAGTCCAACATAACTTATCAAAGGTTTTTCAATGAGATTAAATCACATCATTAAGATACAATAACAGGCCGGGCGCGGTGGCTCAAGCCTGTAATCCCAGCACTTTGGGAGGCCGAGGCGGGTGGATCACGAGGTCGAGAGATCGAGACCATCCTGGTCAACATGGTGAAACCCCGTCTCTACTAAAAATACAAAAAATTAGCTGGGCGTGGTGGCACGTGCCTGTAATACCAGCTACTCAGGAGGCTGAGGCAGGAGAATTGCCTGAACCCAGGAGGCGGAGGTTGCGGTGAGCCGAGATCGTGCCATTGCACTCCAGCCTGGGTAACAAGAGCGAAACTCCGACTCAAAAAAAAAAAAAAGATACAATAACAAAATGGAGAGTCAATATGTATATGAGCTACTTTGTAAACTACTGTTAAGAAAGATTAGAGACCCTCAACTCTTTTTTAAATTATTATACTTTAAATTCTGTGGTACATGTGCAGAATGTGCAGGTTGGTTACATAAACGCGTGCCATGGTGGTTTGCTGCATCCATCAACCCGTCATCTACATTAGGTATTTCTCCTAATGCTATTCCTCCCCTAGCCCACCACCCCCCAGAAGGCCCCCGTATGTCACGTTCCCCTCCCTGTGTCCATGTATTCTCATTGTTCAACTCTCACGTATGAGTCAGAACATTTGGTGTTTGGTTTTCTGTTCTTGTATTAGTTTGCTGAGAATTATCGTTTCCAGCTTCATCCATGTCCCTGCAAAGGACATGAACTAATGCTTTTTTATGACTGCATAGTATTCCATGTGCCACATTTTCTTATCCAGTCTATCGTTGATGGGTATATTTGGGTTGGTTCCAAGTATTTGCTATTGTGAACAGTGCCACAATAAACATGTGTGTGTGTGTCTTTATAGTAGAATAATTTATAATCCTTTGGGTATATACCCAGTAAAGGGATTGCTGGGCCAAATGCTATTTCTGGTTCTAGATCCTTGAGGAATCACCACCCTGTCTTCCACAGTGGTTGAACTAATTTACACTCCCACCAACAGTGTAAAAGTGTTCCTGTTTCTCCACATCCTCTCCAGCATCTGTTGCTTCCTGACTTTTTCATGTTTGCCACTCTAACTGGCGTGAGATAGTATCTCATTGCGGCTTTGATGTGCATTTCTCTAATGACCAGTGATGATGAGATTTTTTTCATATGTTTGTTGGCTGCACAAATGTCTTCTTTTGAAAAGTGTCTGTTCATATCCTTTGCCCACTTTCTGATGGAGTTGTTTTATTCCTGTAAATTTGTTTAAGTTCTTTGTAGATTCTAGATAGCCCTTTGTCAGATGGATAGATTGCAAAAATTTTCTCGCATTCGCTCAGGGGTCGCATAGCTAGTTAGCATGCCAGAGTCTCATTTGTTATCAGAATTAACCAGACAAATCACTCCACCAACCAAGAAGGGCCATGTACCACTGCCACCCATGGAATCGAGAAAAAACTATCAATCTGTCAATCCTGTCTGAGTCCAGGCCAAGATCCTCAACTCTTTAAATAGGAAACCCAAGGAGTCATGGTTGGCTTTTTATTTTCTCTCTCTGCATTTGTGATAAAAATAAAAAATAAAAACAAACAAAACATGATTCTCTTCCAGTTTAACAAAGAAAATTCATAAGTACATACTATCTTTCAGAAAACAGAGATCAATTTAAATATTGCCATGGCCATGAATTAAGACAACCAATAAAAATTACATTTTAGAGTTCAAGATTAGTTTTAGAAGACCTAGCAACAATTTCTGAAGTCCATTCTTCAACAATTCTTTGTTAGAAATACTATGTGCAAGGACAAATTTTATGTTACAGAATAACGTGTTTATCTGCAGTTACAGGGGTAAAGGCATTAGTGTTTTTATTTTCTTGCTGGTATTTCTTCAGCTAAGGGGGCGGGGGCATGTCACTTTCAAGTCAAGGTGCTAAAATTCAATTCATTAGCACTGAGACAGAATTTTTAAAGCCTGAGAAACTCCAAATATACCATCTGAAAAAGATGGGGCAGAATAAGATTTTTAGCACATGGTATATGGAGTGTCAGGGAGCCAGAGATCACCTTTAACCCTCCTTTTAGCTCTTAGTGAGCTCTTTAGCTGGATTTAGAAACCAGATTGACACTAAACAGATTAATAAAGGTATACAAATTGTATTAGTTTTACATATACATGAGGATCTTTACAAAGGAGTGTTCAAAGCAATGAGTTTTGTATTATTTTAGACAAAGAGCAATGATTTTGAGAAGAAATGACAGGACAAAGAAAACCTGGCCAGGGGCAGTAAAATGTACCAGATACATGCAGGGGCGGGGGGGCGGGGGGGTGAAGCAGGTGGAAAGTGGGTTACTTTGTTCAGTATGTTTATTTAGGTTTATTGTAGTCTTTAACTCTCTGGTGATAAGGGCTATTTTTTCACCCTGGAATGAAAGAAGTAGCCTTCCAAGTGGAATCTTTATGGCTCAATGTAAGAGATAGGTCAGCTCTGAGACTACAACTTTTTCAATGTTTTTAACTCAAAATAAATATTTGGGAGGCTGAGGCGGACAGATCATGAGGTCAGGAGTTCAAGACCAGCCTGTCCAACATGGTGAAACCCGTCTTTCCTAAAGATACAAAAAATTAGCCAGGCATGGTGGCGTGTACCTGTAATCCCAGCTACTCAGGAGGCTGAGTCAGGAGAATTGCTTGAACCTGAGAGGCGGAGGTTACTGTGAGCCGAGATCGCACCATTGGACTCCAGCCTGGGCGACAGGGCAAGACTCCATCTCAAAGTGATAATAATAATCAATATACCAGTCTGGCATATTTGGGGATGGCGTATCTTTCACTCCTTTGAGGGGCATGTAAGTTTTCACACCTATACTATAAAGTGTATACATATGAAACCTATCAATGTCATCTAAGTAGACATTCATCTCTAATAGTACAGATGTCAAATAACTAACAAAGTCATCAAACACACCTTCTCTTCCAGAGTGGCCTGCCAGATCAGATGATCCTACCTGGACCAGCTCCTCTTCAAACACTATGAGATGTTTTCTGTTACCTGTTACTTGATTCAGTGACAAACATCATTATCAGCCAAGTAACAGAATGAGGTAGGATGTAATTTCCATGATATTGTCCCACTGATTTAGCCAAATGCTTCATTAACCTTTAATGGTGGCTAACAAGGTGCAATGAGCCACAGGTAAGCATTTATCCTCCAGTAGGCCTAATAATTCCTCAGGTCAAACCTCAGTTTCTTCTTAGACAAACCCCAGGCTACTCAGGAGTGTAGCTCACTGACTTTTATTATTAACTTTTCATTTTACTCTGTTTTTCTTTTTCAAATTCCATTCTCATTTCCTGGGTCTATCCTCATCTATCCAATTCCTAGGAAAAGTAGATAAAGAGGTAAGAAAAGAAAAGGAAAAAAACAAAACAAAACAAAAAAGCCTGGGCACTGTCGCCCATGACTGTAATTTCAGCACTTTGGGAGGCTGAGGAGGGAGTCTGAGACCTGACTGGGTAACATAAGGAGACCCATCTCTACGAAAATTTTTAAAAATTAACTGGGTGTGGTGGCACATGCCTATAGTCCCAGCTACTGAGGAGGCTGAGGTGGGAGGATTGCTTGAACCTGGGAGGTCAAGACTGCATGAGCCATGATAGCACTGCTGCACTCCAGCCTGAGCAACACAGCAAGACCCTGTCTCACAAAAATAAGGCGGGGGGGTGGAGAAAGGAAGGGAGGGAAGGGAGGGAGGGAGCGAAAGAGGGAAGGGAGGAAGGGAAGGAGAGAACAAGCGAACTAGGGATCAGCACTGACATAAGAAAACTCAGTTAAAGAAAGAAAAAAAAAAGATCAATAGCCTGAATTTCATCTTCTTAGCTTCTACCAGTCATGAGGGGAGAATCTGTGGTGATACTAAATGTCAACAGTGCACTCAATTTGTCTGTGTTGTGTGTTATTGGGGAGGGTTGGGTGACAGAGGCCAGTGTGCCAAACCCCTTTTCCTAAATCCTCTGGCTTCCTTTAGCAACAAGATCATCTGCCTGATATTTCCCTTCCCATGCAAGTGGCAAGTGCCTCTACCAAGCTTCTCAGGCTACCAATTTCCTTCTGTTATCCATACCCCAAATTAACTCCCCTCTCCCTCTACTGCCTTCTTTTTTCTCTTCCATCTTTCATTTTATTCTATCTCAATCCTACTCTACCTTACCGCCTCATCTTAAACGGATCCCTGTATTTTAAGAAACCTTCTCCATACTACCTCCACCACTGAAGAAGTATTTCAATTTGAAACCCTGTTCTCTGTGGCTTCCTCTAACTTCTCACTTTAACCAAACCTAGCTTTCTTTGAGAAGGTACTACATTCTCAGCAGTTCTCTTTCTTTGAAAATTGCATTTTTCTCATACCTCTTCATAATAAAAAAACAAGGGGATAGGCCTGTTCTTTATTTCCCCATAATATGAATGGACCTCATTTGAGATGCTCTCAAACAGATGTACTGCCCTTTCCACTCCTGCACATCACATACTACCCTTTGCAATGATGACTTTAAGACAGTAGCTTCTGGAGGGGCACAGTGGCTCACACCTGTAATTCCAGGGCTGCGGGAGGCCAAGGCGGGTGGATTACTTGAAGCCAGGAGTTTAAGACCAGCCTGGTCAACACAGTGAAATCCCATCTCTACTAAAAACACAAAAATTAGCTGGGCGTGGTGGCCCATACTTGTAATCCCAGCTATTTGAGAGGCTGAGGCAGGAGGATCACTTGAACCTGGGAGGTGAGGGCTGGAGGGAGCTGAGATCGCGACACTGCACTCCAGCCTGGGTGAGAGTGAGACTCCAACTCAAAACAAAACAAAACAAAAACATTAGCTTCACTCCATAAAACTCCAATCTTTGGAGTCCAAATTGATTGATTTCTCCAGAAACCAGAGAATGTGAGATGCTCTTCTTAACAAGGAGAAAGGAGAAATCACTATAATTGAGAAGAAACAAAAAATGCAGAACCTAAAATTTCCATTGTAAAAATTTGCATCAAAGTTAAACAGGCAAGGAAGATTTTAAGACAATTACAATACGAGATTAAACTCAACTCTACTGAAACAAGTGTTTCCTCTTGGGGAGTTTTTAAGAGCTGCTGTCGGGGAAATCACATGACATTTGTGTTTGCTAATTACAAAGGAAAAAGAAACTTTCTTTTATCTTCAAAACAAGCTGTAGTTTTACAATTCTGAACAAGGCACCCACAGGAGGTTAGGCTCCTACCCTCCCACAGATGCTGAGAGATAGGGGTGCTATCTTCCTTGATGATTACATTTCAAAGGGATGGCTCCCAGGTCCTTGAAAAAGACATTCTTCGGTCGTAAAACTGGCAATAAGCTTCTCAGAAGATTTACATACGTTTCAAAGGAGCAGAGAATTTGCAATCACAAGTTTTCTAAAGTAAACACTGGAAGAAAGGGGAGGTGAAGGTCCTAACGTCCAGAAGAAACCTGTCTAAAGCTGTCAGGCTGAGGTGAATGTTAAGGCTCTTTTGGTCACCATGGAGAACAACAATAACAAAATGAGTACCTATCTTTCCCCCCTAGGGTCTCAGCTGCTTCTCTAGGTTTGAAAATTCCTACCTCAAAGAGGAAAAGGTGAAGGAAAGGAAGAAAGGGAAAGGAGAAGAAAGAGCGCTTTTTAAAAAGTTTTCTAGGAAATCACTTCTTAGCTTTACATTTGCCCAGCACTGCTAGACGCTGAGATTACAAACAAGACAGTTCCAGCTTTTGAGAATCTCAGTCTGGTAGGGCAAACAAGAACAAATAACGGTAATAGAAAGGGCAAGCGTTATAAAAGGCCTACACGAAGTACTTTGGAAAAAAGCACATGTAACAGCAGCTCATACTTACTAACCACTTACATTGTAAGAGCTTTCCATTTAATCCTCACATAACCTTATGAAGTACTAGTATTATCTCAATGCTAAGATGCAAAAACGGAGACTCATAGAGGTCAAATACTCAAAATCCACAGCATTTACAATTTTATAGAGGCCTGCGCCTATAATCCCATATACTCAGCAGGCTGAGGCGAGAGGATTGCTTGACTCCGACTCCAGCCTGCAGTAAGCTGTGATCCCACCACTGCACTCTAGCCTGGGCGACAGAACCAGACGTCACCCACCACCCCCCACCCCGAAAAAAAAAATTAAAGAAATAAGAAAGAAAAATAATAAAATGGCATAGCACCTGTTCCAGAGCCTGCACTCCTAAGGAGCTCCAGAACGGGGCAGGTAATATTGGCTGAGCCGTTAAAAATGCGCAAGAGTTGTAAGGTAGAAAATTGGGGTGGAGGTTCGATACCGGGGACGAGTGAAATTCCAGGCAAGAGCAATCTCCTGCTTCGTAGTAGAACTGGTGCTGTCAACATGGATGGCGAGAGGTGAGCCGGGGCCCGGCATGCTGGAAAAGCAGGCTGAATGACCTAGAACTGCTTTTTCAAGGGCGAGCACCGTCTCATTCAAGGCCCTGGGCTCCCAGGGCGCCTGGCGCCAGGCGGGAAGCGACGCGAACGGGGCTCGCACAAGAAGCCACAGCCCTGGCCGCGTCTCCCCTGCCGTAGCTTCGGCCCTGGTCCCTGGTCTCTGGAGGACACAAATCGCCCCCACACTCTGCGAAAACTCGTGAATATGTAATAATAACCAGAAATCACCCTGAAACTGCACGGCACTTTCCAGTCCCCTTTCATGTCCCAATGCAAAGCCACTTGTCGCCGGTGGGCATGCAACCAAGCTCTGGGGTTACCAAGGCTCAGCCCAAAGGCCGAAAACGTAGGAAAGGTACCCAGGAATGGCCGTCCGCAGAGTTTGGCTGGGCTCTCGGCGCCCTCAGACCGGAAGCCGAAGCTGACGCCATATTCGCAGGGCCGGCTACGCGACGCACGCCCCAACTACCCAAGAGGCTGTGCGGCCCCTGACCTAATTAGAATGAGGAGAGGAGATAGGCGTGGCCCGCGCGGACAGCCTATGGCCAATCAGCCTTCCTCGGCCTCTCGGACCCGGGCGGTGGCAGCCAATGAGCGCCTTCTCCTTGGCCGCCACGCCCGCGCCGAATTGCGGTGACCTAACAGCCTCTGCGGAACGCGATCTGTTCTGGGACACCCATGCGGCTGCTGAGTCCCTCCAGCGGGCGGTGAGGACTTTGAGGCTTAGGCTCCCCTCCCAGCCGAGTGGCACGGTTGAGATGCTGCGCCCCATTGGCGCAGGTTGGGATGGGAGCGAAGCCAGGCTTGACGCAGACCTGAGCAGAGGACTCTGCCAATCACATCCAGCCTCCGCAGCTCCCAGCCGTGACCACCGATCCGAAGCCTAGTTCTTTCGCAGTGACAGCCCCCACTTTTAGCGCATTGTCTAAGTGTTGAATCCTCTTCCCTCCCTTGAACAACCGTGTCCTTTGAGCTGCCTTACCTCCCCTTTCCAGGTACTCCCATAAGCCCTACCCCTTTCTGGATTTACTAGACTTTCTTTGAGTTCCCTTAATAATCCGCGTTTTTCTATCACTGTACTCCCGTATTGTTTTACAGTGTATTTACTTTTCTATCTTCTCCACTTGTCTGTGATTTGTAATTCTTCGCACAGTATCTGGCCAGAGGAGATGCTGTAGTGCTATTTCCTCAATGAACTCTTAGGCAGAATCCTGATGTATTAACCAAATAAAAACAAAGCTGTTCTGATAGTAGTGGAGGGGGAATGTCCAGAGCCCTGAACCCTTAGGGAAGGCCCAGAGGCACCTATCATTAGTTAGTGACCTCCTCAGAAATATTGTTTAACATATAGAAATATGGTTTATCTAGGAGATGAAAAATATATTTAGAACCTCTGGGAGCACTTGGTTTGGGTCAGCCTTGAAGACCCAGCTGCATTCTTGCTCTTGGGTTCTGTGAAATAACCTTACACCCATATAACAAATGCCTTTTGTTGTTGTTTGGCTTAAAGCTGTCAGAAATGGACTGGTTTCTTGCAACCGAAGATTCTTAGCTGAAGAGTCTTAACTAGGACAACTCTGCTTCAGTATGGATACGAGGATTAAATAAAGTATTTCAAGCACTTCAGTTAGCACCTCCAGAAATGTTTCTTCCCTCTTCTGTTAACAGTATCCATGTGGCCAGAGCATCAGACTTACCTGTTTTTTGTACATGTTCAAAATAACAAGCCCATTTTGTGGTCAGTTTTCTTTTTTGCAAGTTTCTTCTCATTCCAGTTTCATCTTTCAGGTGTTACGATTTATGGGTTTTTTTGTTTTGTTTTGCTATGTTTTGAAGTTTTGTTTGTTCCTAAAAGTATTGAATTCGTCATACTCCTCAGTTCGTGGCACACTATCATCGGACCCTGACAGAAAGGCCCTCTCGTTTCTTATTTGTTTACAACCTTCAAATCCCATTTTCTCCCTACAATAGGCAATTTTCTAATTTGTTTAATGTGCATATTTCCATTTATGTGTTTTCTAAACATAGTTTATTATTTTGTGGGCATGGATTTTTAAGGGTACTCCAAAGCTACTGAGGTATTTGTCTCATTACATACATATTTTTTAACCTAAGCACTGTTTTTTTAGCTCCATCCACATTGCCAGATGTTAATATTTAATCTATTATTCACATTGATGCCTAATAGTCTGCGGTATGCATCTGTCCACTCTTCCACTGATGAGCTCCCATGCTGCTTCCAACTCTATACTACTGCAAATAACCCTGACTTGAATATCCTTGTATTGGTCCCCTTGTGAACTTGTAAGAATTTGTTTTATGTTACTTAGGGGAGGAATTGCTGCTGGGCTGCTGGATATGAATCCGTTTAATGTGTCCAAGTAATGCCGTATCGCTTTCCAAAAGTGGTCAAACCAATCTTGCAACAGTGCAAGATTCTGTATTTCCACATCTGACAACACTTGCCTTTTTTTTTTTTTTTTTTTTTTTTTGAGACAGAGTCTCACTCTGTCGTGCAGGCTGGGGTGCAGTGGCATAGTTATGGCTCACTGCAGCCTCCTGGACTCAAGCGATCCTCCTGCTTCAGCCTCCTGAGTAGATGGGACCATAGGTGCATGCCACCATGCCCAGCTAATTTTTTAATTTTTTGTAGAGGTGGGATCTCACTATGTTGCCTAGGCTGGTCTCAAACTCCTGGGGTCAAGCAGTTCTCCCACTTTGGCCTCCCAAAGTACTGGGATTACAGGCATGAGCCACTGCACCCAGCCAACACTTGCAATTTTCTAGATTTCTATTCACTGGTTTGATAGGAATAAAGTAATATCTCATTATTGGTTTAATTTGCATTTGATTACTAATGTTTTGATCAAATTTCCATATACTTATTAGCTTTCTCCTCTACAATTAATTGGCTATTTGTATTTTTTGCCTTTTTTTTTTTTTTTTTTTTGAGACAGAATCTTGCTCTTGTTGCCCAGGCTGGAGTGCAATGGCACCATCTTGGTTCACTGTAACTTCCACCTCCCGGGTTCAAGCAATTATCCTGCCTCAGCCTTCCAGGTAGCTGAGATAATAGGCACCCACCACCATGCCTGGCCAATTTTGTATTTTTAGTAGAGATGGTGTTTCTCCATGTTGGTCAGGTTGGTCTTGAACTCCCAACCTCAGGTGATCCACCTGCCTCGGCCTCCCAAAGTGCTGGGATTACAGGAGTGACCCACCGTGCCTGGCCTCCTTTTTTTTTTTTTTTTGAATACTGAGTTGCTTTTCCCTATTCATTTGCAGGAGTTCCTCATACATTTAGGGTGATATTACACCCTTGTCAGTTTTAGACAAAGCAAGTATTTTCTCCATTCTGCCGTCTGCCTGTTAACTTTGTTAATAATCCCCTTTATGGAACAGAAATCCTTATTTTTTTAGTAATGAAACTCCCCCGTTTTTGTTTTATGGCTTGCGCTTTTAAAATGTTGAAATATGGGTACCACTTTCTTAGTTGCGTTTATTCTCTGCCAGCTATCTCTAAATCTGAATTCACTGGCAAGATCATTCCATTCACTCCTCTTCAGTGAACTCCAAAGTAACTGTTCTGATTGAATTTAATCTTCTTTGAACTTTTTCCCCTCATACAGTCTCAAGCTATGAAAATCATAGCCTTGATCTGAAGTCAAGTTTTTCATAACCCTAGACACATATTTCACCTTATGTTCTCGGCTACCAGGAACTCAGTGATATAGTTACCTTCTCTCAAAGATTTTTCTTCACTTCCATTTCACTAATCAGTTCCATCTTTGTGGGTCAGAATTAGAGATCCAGAATAGCAATCTGTACTGTGTCACCTCTTCCTTCTGAGGAAAGAAATGTACATTAAACAACATATCCTCGGATTCTGGAACTTGGTTTTGTGCCAGTTTCATTATTTACTCCTGGGATCTATAATCCAGTGTATGTATCTGTTTTGTTAGCCTTTGGCACATTTTTTAAATGACATGATTTCTTTCCTCTCCTTTATCTTTACCTAAACGATTCCTTTCTTGTTTCCATGCTCAGGAATGTAAAAGACCCACACAAGGGCTACTCTTGACTTTCCTTCTATCATTTTCTTTGGTTTTATTTCATTCCTTACACTTATTTTCTTTTGTCTCTTTCCTTCCTTCATCCCTTATCAGCCCCTTTTCTTCCCTGTTTCCTTCCTGAATTTTACAAATGCCAGGGGCAAGGGCTAACTTTCTGTAGATTACAGCAAAGAAGCTGCTTCTAACCCAGAAGCAGGTTTCCCATAAATACATGGTGTGTGACCCATAACCAGCAACCCTTTTCCAGCTGCACATCAGAACTTAGTTCGGTTTCTATGGAACAATGTACTGTACTTTTTTCACTGCCAGGTTCTAGGTGTGAATCCCATCCTACCATGTTTATGAGATTTTATTTTTCTCATTGTATAAAATCTAAAATTCTGGCCGGGCGCGGTGGCTCAAGCCTGTAATCCCAGCACTTTGGGAGGCCGAGGCGGGTGGATCACGAGGTCAAGAGATCGAGACCATCCTGGTCAACATGGTGAAACCCCGTCTCTACTAAAAATACAAAAATTAGCTGGGCATGGTGGCGCGTGCCTGTAATCCCAGCTACTCAGGAGGCTGAGGCAGGAGAATTGCCTGAGCCCAGGAGGCGGAGGTTGCGGTGAGCCGAGATCGCGCCATTGCACTCCAGCCTGGGCAACAAGAGCGAAACTCCGTCTCAAAAAAAAAAAAAAAAAAAAAACTATTTTTACAAGCCCACAACTCAACATCACACATTTTTTTAACTTTCTCCTCCATTTACCTTGTCCCACCGGCATACACACCCGCCCCTCCCCGACACACGCCATTCCCCTGAAAATTGAAGTGCTTTCAATTTAGTGGACAATGCTCATAGAGAACAGATTTTCCCTTTGATCTTCCGAGAAACACTCTGTCCTGATTCAAGAACACTCCATCCCAATTCAATTATTCCCTCATAATTAGACTGTGAGCTCCTTAAAGGTAGGGACCGTGACTTCCTGGAGTCTGCTGCAATGCCTGTGGCCTTCGATGACACATAGCAGGCAGTTGGTAAACATTTGCTGACAGAGTCACTCAGTCTTGGTTCTCTTTTTCAATGTATTTTTCCATCATGCTGCTAAGAATTATTCACCTGCTATAAAAAATATTTTGACTTTTTATTCTCAAAGCTGGATTCAAATTACAATAAGCTTTCCTTAGCATGTTGTAACCATTTATAGCAGATTAAGGTGAAGTACCATTTAATGAGAAACAAATTGTTCTATAGCGCAGGTGAACAGCCTTCTGTTCCTAACAGTCATTAACTGTGTAACCTTGGGCACATCACCCATTTATTTAGTTATGTACAATGACATAATTAATATTTGCTCACCAACAATTCTCTTAGAAGGAGGCTGTACTTTTTAATGAAGTAC